GGGGACAGCGCTGCGGACCCACGGGCCCTACAGCCACAGCCCGCCCAGCACCACCCAAAGGTTCGGCACAGCCGCTCCTCCCGTCCCGCCATGCTCCCGGCGCGCTCACCACCAGCGCCCGGATGCGGATGCTGTCCCTCTCGCTGTGCTTGTAGATCTCCTTGAGCAGGCTGACGCCGTTGGCAGTGATGAAGGAGGCGCGCTTGGCCTTGTCGGCAGCGTGGATCAGTGCCTCCACCGCTACCAGCTGGTGGGCCTCGCAGACGGAGGCGCAGAGGGACAGCACGCTGTCCATGATCCCCTCCAGCTCCAGCACCCTGTTCCCAGCATCCGAGGGGCCCTGCAGCAGGCACGACACCGTCTGGATGGCCCGCAGCTTCCCAGCCAGCTCGTGCCCCTCGAACCAGCTCCTGCAGGGGAAGACCACCAGGAAGGATAAGGCTGATCCCACCCGCCACCTTCAGCCCCACGCAGCCCTTCTCAACACAAGCAGGTCTCCGACGGGTCCGCAATCTGTTTTTATCACAAAGAGCAAAAAGGTCTGGGGATAGGGGTGCTGCTACTTCCCCAGAAGGCTGCTGGCTGCACGAGACTGAACCCCCCTCCACCCCCAGGCACACTCAGGCTCACCTCACGTAGTCCTCACACAAGTGGTGGAAGTTTTCCCTCTCAGCATCGCATTTCAGGTCATCGTAGAGCTTGCTCAGCAGAACTGAGGCGCTCATCCGGCTGTTCTCCGTCACGGGCAGGCTGCCCGGGGCACCGCACACTGTACTTCCCACCTCCAGGATCTTCTTCAGACCTAGGGGAACCCAAGGTCAGACACCCCAGAGAGGAGCACAATGGGGTGCGCAGGCAGAGCGGAGGCGTGCGGCACCCCGAGGCAGAGGGGCGTGATGCCCCAGCGGGACACTGCAGGCTGTTCTGCTCACCCTGGTCGATCACCCAGAGGCTCAGGCTGTTGTTGGTCTCCTTCGGCGACTTCCTGGGCACCACCTTGATGAGCAGGTTGAGGGCGTTGTCACGGCCGTGTGCAGAGGCCCCTTCCAGCGCCAGCAGCTCCAGGAGGTGCTTAATCAGCAGTCTCAGGTCCTTGGAGGAATCTTTCAGAAGAGACGGTGCCCAGGAGTCAGCACAGTGGGCACAGGCCTCCCCCCCGCCATGGTAAGGCTGGCAGGAGATGCTGCCATGACCAGGGGCTCCTGCCTCCCAGCTCAACCTCGTATTAACCCTGGACCAGAGCCCCAGCACTACAGCAGGGAGCGGTGACAAGGCAGGCAGTGGGACAAGAACCTGCGGCTGCTCGGTGCCTCCCCAGGGCGCTCTCCCCACCCCACGGCAGCCAGCCGGGGCAGCAGGCACTCACCCAGCACCACCGCATCCTCCTTGCCACGGAAGTCCTTCTGCAGCCCCTCCTTCAGGGAATCAAACATCACGTGCAGAAGGTTGCAGGCAGCCAGGGAAACCTGCTCGTGCTCCACACCCAGCACCGCCGAAAGACGAGGGGCCCCCAGCTCCACCAGGATGGCCATGGTCTGCAGGTACAAGCACAACTGTCTGCTGGAGGCTTTAGGGAAGCCTTTGCACTTTCCAGCACCTTATCGGGACGGTTGCCTGTCACAACAAGGCTTCCCACAAACTCAGGGCTGGCAGGTGACAGCTCAGAGCTCCTCTGCTCAGCCGCAGGCAGAAGCCAGCGATGCTCCCCGGCCTGACACCCTTCGCAGCCTCCCTGCCATCGATTCCCCTGGGCCAGGCCCTGTCACGCAGGAGAGCAGAGCTACGGTGGGACCTACCCGGGAGCGGTGCCCAGAGCACAGCCCCACCAGGGTGCGCAGGGCCGCCAGCATCAGGTCAGCCTTGGCCGTGTCGAGCAGCTGTGTCAGCAGCCGCACACCATCACTTTGGAAGATTTTCTCTGCTCCGGCCTCCTCTCGTGCCAGCACAATCAGGTTCTGCGCAGCCTGGGAAAGGAGAGTCACGTCTGGGTCACCCTGCCCACCAGAACATAGCCCACTGTGCACAGGGAACCTCCCCAGTGGGAGCTGGCTGGGCAGCCAGGGCAGCCGCAGGCACCTGCCTCCTGCTCCCAATCTCCAGGGAGCACGTTCTGCTGGTGGGAAGTCCAGCCTTGCCTGGGCAGCACCGTTCAGCCAGCAGTGCTGACCCGGGAATACCATTCCTCCCCTCCCTGCCTTCCAGCCAAGCCGTGTTGCCCGCTGCTCCCCAGAGCTCAGACCTTTTGCTTCTTGTCTGTGTCCTTTTCTTCAGGATCCAGCAAGATCTGGAACATCTGCTCTACCTTCGAGTCCGTGCAGGACATGGTCTTCATCTGAGACAGAGTAGGAAGAACAGCTCAGCCCTCCCCATTTCCCTGAGCCCACCACGCCCACAGGGGGCTCACAGCAACCTCCAGCCCCCACACTGCCGCCCCGCTCACCTTCTCATGCATGCTGCTCCCCAGGGCACGCAGGGCCTCCTGGAAGGCCTTGTTCTTGGGCTCCAGGCTCACGCACCGCTGCAGGTCACTGACAGCCTGGTCCAGCCGGCCCAGCTTCTGCAGCGCCTGGCTCCGGCGGAACAGCGCCTTCATGTCCCGGCCATCGGCTTCAATGGCTGTGGGTGAGCGGGGGATCTATCGCAAAGCCCCTGGACCGCTCCGGTCTGCCCAGACAGGCAGTGCACAGAGGCCAGTGCCCTGCCAGCCACCACTGACCTTTAGATGCGTCAGCCTCTGCCTTGGCGTAGTCCTCCTGCAGAAAGAGAGTCGGCGAGAGGGAAATGCCTGCCGTGCTGCTCGTGCAGGCCGCCGGGGCCCAGGGGGAGCCCCCAGCCACTGCTTTAGAGAGAAGAGCACGGACAGGACTGCGGGGTTTGAGGATGGGAACAGCATGGCTGAGGACAGGGAGCCAGCCCAGTAAGGGCATCCCATACTTCCCAGAGCACAACCCTTGTGGGGTCCCTGAGGAGCCCTAGGGCCTCTTCATGCTTTTCAAGTGCTCCCGGTCTACTCGAGCACCTGAAGTTCCTAGTGTTTCCCCCTGCCCCAGAGAAAGTTCCACAGCGGGAGATCAGAGATGCTGTGACTGCCCGGGGAATGGCCCCAGAGCACGTGCACAGCCCAGGCACGGGCGGGAGTGCCCTGCCCTGGCCCTGACAGCCCCCCCGGGTGGTGGGGCAGCACGGGACAGCGGGCAGGGCCAGGAGAGAAGGTGAGCGAGTCCTGCCCGGGGACCGACAGGGCCTCCCAGCGCAGGCGCGGGGCTG